ACTGATACATAGTGATGTATGCGGACCAATGAGCTGTAAGAGTGTGATTGCTTCTGAAGAAGATGAACTGAGCAAATGGATTCGTGAGATTTGGTTCCAGATTCTGCGGCGTTGGATCCCGAAGCTAGTGACTCTTCCCACTTCGGGGCTTCGTTGGAAGAAGCATAAAGTGTTGGAAGAAGCTGAGATATTGAGGTGGACGATAATGGCGACCACTGAGCAGATCAGCCTTCTTCCTCTTCGGGAACGGGTTCGTTTGTGTCTCTCTTCTCTGTTCCTGATTTTTCGTCGTCCCCTTACCTTGAGTCTGTTGAATTTGCGTTAGTTTGAGTTGCTTCGTCTTAGATCCGAGGAATTTCGCTGTTCCCAGATCTCTGGAACTTCACTGTTGCTTCGATAACGTTATCTCCGGTGAACACCAGAGTTCAGTTGTCCGGAGATGAACGTCAGAGGGCAACGAAGTGAATCTTTTTGTTTTTCACTCGCTTAATCAAAGTGTGTAATTCACCGTTCGAAACTGTCAGAATTAGGGTTTCCCATCATCTGCTCTCGGGCTGAATTTTAGCCTTGATCTTGGCGTTGACTTGTTTCCACTAACATTGTCTCTCCTTTCCTGAGAAAAATCAAGCCATTGTTGGTGCTGGCCTTTTGCCTTTAAGATCGAACAAGACCGGTTTGGTGATTATGTGATACTGTCAACCTCTTTCTCTGATGCTGCTTGCTCATCTCTTCACAAGTAACCTTTGTGAATGATTTAGACCTCAATAGATTGTGATTGCATTGTTTGATTTGTCATTGTTCATATTTGGTAACATAAATGGCATGAAGCGGCAACTTGCTATTTACCATTTTTGTCGAATGCTCATTCTTTATGCTATGATCCTCCCGAATTTAACGTACTTAAGTTCTTGTTCTTGTCTGTGTAAATGTATATGAATTCAGTGTTTTCATGCCTTCTAACGATTTTCACTTCACTGGCAGAGGAAGAAGTGGGTCGGGTGCTTTAGAGCATTGTCTTGTTTCGGTGCGAGAAAAGGAGAGAGGCGTATTGTCCCGGCTGCCCGAATTCCTGATGGGAATTCTGCAACAACTCAATCAAATGGACCTCAGGCTTCTGGATTGAGCAATCAAGCTACATCTATTCTGGCTCCACCCTCTTCCCCTGCCTCTTTCTCACATTCTGCTGTCCCTTCAACGGTGCAATCACCGAATAACATGCTGTCTTTATCTGCTAACTCACTAGGTGGTCCGGTTTCCACAATGTTTGCAACCGGCCCATATGCCCATGAGAGCCAGTTGGTTTCACCTCCGGTTTTTTCAACTTTCACGACGGAGCCATCTACTGCCCCTTTGACTCCCCCTCCTGAATTAGCACACCTCACCACTCCCTCTTCTCCCGATGTACCTTACGCCCGGTTCTTGACCTCTGCTTCTGAGCTTAAAAATGCTGAGAAGACAAATTACGTTTCTGTGAATGACCTTCAGGCAACATACTCACTGTATCCTGGCTGTCCTGCAAGCAATCTTAGGTCCCCAATCTCGAAAACGGGCGGCTGTTTGTCCTCGTCCTTTCCTGACCGTGAGTTCCCGAGTCAATGGGATCCTTTGGCATCCCCACGGACTGGTAAATGCTCGAGGAGTGACTCTAGCAATGCACAAACACCTGACACAAGCGGTACTCCAAAGGCTTCCGAGGGTCCAAACTTCTTTTGTCCTGCTACATTTGCTAGATACTACCTTGATCACGATGACCTGTTTTCTCATACGGGCGGAAGACTTAGTGTTTCCAAAGATTCGGATGGAAACGAGCAGCAGCATAGGCTAGCAAGAAACTTTTCCAAGCAAGATATGGAAGAACTAGAAGCATACAGAGCTTCCTTTGGTTTCAGTGCAGATGAAATCATTACTAAAAGCCAATATGTGGAGATCACAGATGTGAATGATGATGACTCATTCACCATTAGACCGTTGACCTCGGAGGCACCTACAACACTCCGTGCCAGTGAGACTGCGTCACAATGCGAAGAGCCAAAATCATATGGACTGGAAACAACCTTGGCCCGGGGAGAAAGTGGTGGACCTGATCCGGAGGATATAAGTCATGACACACAAGAGCCTTTCGGCTCGTTCAAAGGTAATGTTTCCGTCATCTTGAAAATCGGAGATCTTACAACTTTAAAATTGAAGCCTTTCTCTGTTTCTGTATCTTGATGCTTGCTTGCTTGGGTTAAACGATGCAGCAGATCAGACGCCGTGGAGTGACCACGGATCAAGCACACCGGGAAACGAGAATGGTATATTCACAGAGTTAGGATCGTCAAGAAAAAGCCGAAAATACCGTGTGGGTGTTTGCAGTTCGGATGCAGAAATCGATTATAGAAGAGGTAGAAGGATGAGCTTAAGAGAAGGCAAAGGAGACTTTGCCTGGCACGACTGATTTAAAAACAAAACAAAAAAAACAAAACACTCAATATTGAATCTAAGACATAGGTTTCTCTTCTACTTCTACATTAGTGAAAGCTTTTTGTTACTCGGTGTTCAGGTGAATGTTATATGTTTTTATATATATATATTGTTGTGGATCAGCCCCGGTCGAGGTTCGCCTCGCCATTCTCTCCGATCACTCGTGTGTATAAACGGAAAAGAGAAGAGAGAACACAGTCGAGATACGAGTTCAGCTCCGAGCATAAAGCTCGGGCCTACGTCTCGGGAAGAGGAAGCCGCGTGTTTCTGCTAGGGTTACAACAAGGGAAAACCACCGGACACCGCCGGAACGGGCCGGAAAACCGCGAGCAAGGCTCGCCGGATGAGAGAGAACCTCTCAGCCGAAAACCATCCCGAAACCCTAAAGCGTTTGAATGACAAACACAAAATGAAACCTAGGATTTCATTAAACACACGGAAATGACGGAAACGCCCCTCCGTCCTTGTGAGATCCTCTGCTTCATCCAGAGTCTTTGAAAGTCTCTACACGACCCAGCGGATTTCGTCTGAAGACTCCACAAATCTCCACCTTCTTCAGAAAACCTGCAAAAGAAAAACACGAAGCAAAGCAAACACAATATATAACGCCAAACATGAACCCTAGCATGCTGTCGCTTCCCGTCTATTTCCATTTGTTAACTCTACCTCCCGACACATCCTAGGCGTATCAAACGTGCTTACCGAGCGTACCATAATTACGTCTCAGCGTGATAAACAAATAAACACGCAAACCTAGTCTACCCAAAACGAGTGTCCCCGACACCTTCCGTTTTCCGAAGACTAGCTAAGACCTCGACTAGTTATGACTCTCTAGACCGTCTACATAACTCTCTCCGATGAAGTCTAAAACTTCACCTATGCACCCTCGAGAGTTAACTCCGACATCTACCCGTCTCCCGAGTCTAACCCGACTACCCCGAGACTAACCTGAGCCATACTATCGAACCTGCTAGACAACCTAGCCCTGGATCCCCGTAGAGCCTACACCACCTATGAGTTAGTGACTTCTACCCACGGACCCTAACCTGCCAACTAAGATTGTCCCACGGTTTTATCCCGTGAAGACGTTCCTAGTCATCTACGAATGCTCCACCGAGAATGAGACACGTGAGTGCACGTGCTCCACCTCGAGAGGGAGTGTCCTAGCGCTCCAACCTAAGATTGTCCTACCCACGGACCCTAACCTGCCAACTAAGATTGTCCCACGGTTTTATCCCATGAAGATGTTCCTAGTCATCTACGAATGCTCCACCGAGAATGAGACACGTGAGTGCACGTGCTCCACCTCGAGAGGGAGTGTCCTAGTGCTCCAACCTACACCGACTCTACCCGGTGAAAAACCCGACACCTCCCTGCTCACACCATCTCCTGAGCATCCTACCCGAGGAAGCTCCACCTAAATGTGGAGACCTCACCTCCTGACCTACCACCGAGAATCGAAGCATCTTCGGTTACTCCTCCGAGGTCAACACGTCCTTCTACCTCGGACACTCCCTACCTCGTCATCCGGGATCTACAAATCCTCCATGTAGTATCCCTACCTACCCGCGGAACTACTCACTCCACCTGGTCCTTGGCCTACTCCTGCAACCCGATTTCTCGGGTTTTGCCCGAGACCCCTAGTCCTTCCACCATACCCCTTTCGGGGTATACCGAGCTAGACAATCTAACTCCATCATCCTAAGACGATATAACAAGAGTCTAAAACCGACCCTACCCGGAAGAGACTTAACCGACCCTAGGAGTGATGTAACATGACACGAGGGATGAGACCGAAC